ACAATTTGTTTCTTTCATTAACTTCTCTCTCTTAATTTTCAACCTATGTATCGCTATCACTTTTAATAATTTCTAATATAATTATATTGTCAATTTTATAGAAGTAATTAAATATTACTTTGTGGAAAAATATTATATTAATTTTTTAAATTTTTCTTATTTTATTTTATATATTTGCAACTTATTTAAATGTTACAAAAAAAAAAAAATTCAAAAAGATTGAAAAACTGTTTTATTAGTTCTAAAATAAAAATTATTTAGTGTAATATTTTATTCAAAATATTTCTGTTATTGTAAAAACTTATTTTGTTCTAATTAATTACCATCTAATAATGTATTCCATTAAGATTGCACTTTTAATGCTTTTTTTTCATTTCAAATAGATTTCCAGATTGAACGAACCGAAAACGCTTGGAAAGAATGCAAAGACGTCAAATTTTATAACCTGGAATCTTTCGTCAAACATGTATCAATTGTATTCAAGTTTCAATTAATGTATATGTAGCATAATATGTAGATATAGATATATATATAACAATAGTTAATCATACAAAATTGCGGCAGTGTGTTTTCACGTAATATATTAATGATATTACGTATATCCGGACATGTTTTCATCATTATTACTAAAAATTAGGAATATCGAGGAAAGCCGGATACCGTTCAAATATTTTATTTTAGCAGAAGAATTTCTTTATATAAAATTATCTTGATTAATATATCATGGAAAACACAATTTTTTCAAAGATAAAGACTTCAATTTTTTATAAGTCTAATTATACATTTTTTTCTTGAGAGCTTGCATCTGTTTCAGCAAAATACGTACTTTGTCACAATATTGTTTTTTTAATATACTATAATATACTATAATATTTTCCATATTTTTCAACAATTTCATTATAATAACTTCAGATAAATATCACCGTTCATAATAAAAAATTATTGCAATACTTATATTTTATCTTTCTGTTATTCTTTTGCAGAAAAATGAAGATCTGAAAAATATTAAGGATATAAATCAATATATTATTATTCATGATATTTTCTCAAATGATGTTTTGGTGTCAATTATTTGGAAAGAATTACTTCTCTAATGACATTTTTTTAAAGAGTATTTTTATGTAAGAAATGGATAATATTTGTACGTATCAATTATTCTATCATAATAACAAGAAATGATAAACCATAAAATAGCAAAAATGTTGCAAAAATGGAACTGAAAACAGCAGAATTTTATAATGTTTAAATTGAAAAAAATAAAAATGAATATTTAATTAAAGAATGGTATCCGGCGTTCCATTGCTTGCATATCGAACGACAATGAAACAGTCAGGAGTTCGATAAAACCAGGGTTACGCGAATTATGATACACTAAGCTATACAATGATCCTCTTTTCTTGGCTACTTGAAACAAACGTCATCACTGATGACATTCTCTACTGAGATGTCACCAATTAAACTAACGCTGTGCGGAAAAAAGAGAGTGCATTCTTTGTATGCGGTATGCATACAATGTAAATACATTATGCATATAAATATATGCTTGTATCGTAACAGCATCGTTCAATCGTTCCTTTTATTAAATTGAAGAAATGTTGATGGGCCCTCTTCTTTAAAAGAGCCAAAATTATCATAAAAATTGTTGGCAAAAAATATTAATTGATCATATAAATCAACAATTCTCGATCTTTTTGTGTATGTGACTCAACATATTTATTTATAATTCAAATATTTATAATATACAAATTAATAGAGTTCATTGTATACTATATAAATCAATATTTCTATAATTAAACTTTATTAGTAATTCTATTATAAGTCAATAGATTTTTTCACAACTAAAATTCGTTCAGTATGATCAAGGTAGGAATTTTAATTGTAAAATCCATTATTTTTTTGTAAAATATTATATAAATTTATATATAAATTATCCACATATTATTCTTGTATATCATAGATTGATAAACATTGATCTATTATTTTTTTCTATGATTGGTCAGTTTCGATTATAATCAGTTAACGAAAAACTACAAATTTTTATCATATTTCTTATAAAAGTTTCCCAAAAACAGTCTTTTCTTTTGTCTTTTTTTTTCTTTCTTTTTTTTTCCATTTTATTTTTCTTTTTTCATTGAATTTTAAATTGTTGAACAATTATATAGTTAATTAAAAAAAAAAATATGGCATGCTTCACATATCTTATTATATAAATTTTTAAGAGTCTGAATATTTTATTGAATAATGCTGATACGATATAAAGTATATTATATGTCATATTATAAAGTATATTATATGTCATATACAAATTGCATTCACTCACGAGGACACGAGTTGAAAAAGCAATTTAATAGTGGTCAACTTTCAAGAAGTACCATTTGATTTTTGAATCTTTACATATCTTACACTTTATAATTTAGTTTTTGTACAAGATTGTTTGTAGTCTTTTATGAACAAATTAATAATAATAATAAACATTTTAAATATTTTTTTCTTTAAAATCATTCTAAAAACATCCAATGATTTTAATATTATCATTTATACATTATTTAAATATTATAGATAGATCTTGAATATTAATTTTATCCAACTGAAAATATTCTTTCACTTTTGAGTGTGGAATATCTATTTTATTAAAAGCTATTATTTATAATGAAAATAATTTCTTTGCAGTTTCTTTAAACTTTTGCATTTCTTTCCAAAAATTGTTTCCATTATTTAATTTTAGCTATTTTATGAAACTTTAATTGTTTTTTCATATTTTATCTGACTACTTGAATAAATAAAATCATTACTCCTTGGATGTTACTGGATATTATCAAGGGAAATTTTTTATTATTAGTATTTTTAGTATTAAACATTTCTTAATTATTAAAATTGAATACCTTTTAATTATTGAATCAAATTTCTTCTTATGAAAAACCGCTTAACGAGATCAAAATTCGTATACTTTCTAAAAATATTCTTTTTTTAAATTAAACAAAATTAACAAAAAAGTTAAATTGAATCGCAATGTCTGATGATTCATTCAATATATATTATACAAACTTTTATTTATATGTATTGTTACGAACACACATTAGATTTTTCTGAGGATTTTATAATGTTTGAAAAAATATATTTATTCAAAGTCATAAATTTAATAAAAATATAAATTGAATATACAACATTAGATGTCATCATTAGATGATACTAATGCTACAAAAATTAAAAATAATTATAAAAAAGTAAAATTATGCAATAGAATATATTTTATACAATTTAAGAAAAAACATATTTAAAAACTGATGGCTTATTACAAAGATTTATAATAAGATAATTGTAAGAAAATTATTAAATGAAAAATTATGTAGAAACAAAATATTTAATATATTTTAAATTTAAATTGAAAATTGAAAGAGATCTTAAGTAATATTAAGTAAATCTATAAAAGAGATTTTGGAACAATTGAAAAGTTCAAGAAAAGAATCTCAATGCAAGAATTTTAAAAACTGGGATAGAAATCGATGGAAGACATAATGTCACCTAATTTTAATTATGATGGACATAGTTGAACTCATTAATCTCAACAATAGCCGCAATAGAATGAGACATTGATATTACTGAGTCTTATTGATATATAAGCATTTTTTATCATAATTCTATAGATTATAATCAGGACAAGTAAAATTTAATTAAATAAAAATATATAGTTTTGAATTCTCTATGATCTTATTTGAATTTAGATACAACATTGTAGATTATAACTAGACTAATCATTAATCTCAATTCATTCTCTATGATGTATAACAAAATCCACTGTGTGTATGCAACAACATTATATTAATACTATATCAACTAACTATAATGATAGTAATAATACTTATAAATAGATACTCGTGTCCCCATTGACGAGATCGTAGAACAAACGAACCCCGGAGAATATTCTGACCGAAAGATAATTTCTCTCGGCTCGTCCTCTTCAAATGGTTATTTTTTCGCAGATATAATAATACTGACTATGTTTTTAATCGTTTTATAAGTTTATTTAAACTTTATTTATTTTAAATTTATTCGTAATTATTATCATTTCTTGGTGAATTTCGGTTCTTCGTCCTGATCCATCTTCTTCTACTTTTCTTTATTTTTCATTCGTCGATTTGCTATTGTCAACATATACAAGAAATCATGGAACCAGTTTTTCGGCTCCTATTGCACTGAACATTATGTATATATATAAATTATCATCTGCGTACACTTACACTTTGCTTTTTTTTCTTTCTTCTTCAATTTTCTAATTCTTATCTCTTTTTCTTTTTCTTTTTCTTCTGATACATACATATAATGCACGTATATGTGGACGCAGTAATGTGTACATTAACAATTTCTTTGTGTTTTGTATATGAGGGCTAACTAATCTCTAAGTAATAGATTTTTTATCAAAAGCACATGTATATTGTGACTAGTCTATGTGTGTATATATAATATATATATATATAGTATATTGTATATAAATCGAGCATTGCTGTGTAATTCTTCTTTTTCTTCTTCATATTTTCTTATCCAGGTGTATGTATGTTTTTTTATTTAATTTTTTTTTTGTATATCTTTTTTTATTTTTATTTTATTTTCTGTTCTTTCTGCATATGGCTGTTTTTTTTCCATTATCAATTAATCAATATAATCAATTAATAATAGTTCACTTCGTCTTTTTTCTTCTGCAACTAGCTTCACTGATGAAGAAACTCCTCCGGAACTCTTTCACATGAGATCTGAGTCTCGACCGGTCGGGAAATACCATAAATTCCGTTGAAAATTTAATTGAAGAAGCGGTAAAACTTCTTTGAGTTGAGGATGTGTGCGATGAATCGCGGAATCTTTTACAAGATTTCGTCATTTCCTCTTTTTTAGTAGATTAGACATCATTTTTTCGGTCGATTTAAATAAATTTGTGCATTTTGGGACACGGAAGACGACTCGAGATGCTCATTATCATAAAAGTACTCACTCGTTGTTTTTTTTTGCTTTATTAATTTCTCATTTGGTGGCTTTACTGATATTGAGTTGAGAAAGAAGCTTTCGGCTGATCTCAAGGTAAAATATAGAAAAAAAGTTTAGATGATTAAAAAATCTTCTTTCATAGCATTTGTGCTTGAATAAAAAGTTTATAATCATTGATTCTTCAGCTGCAAAAGGTAATCGTGTAATTTATTTATTTCTAAAATATCTAGAGAAACCTAAAATAATTAGGAATTAAATTTTGTGCAAGGAGTTTTAAGCTAGGAACCTGTTTGTCAATACGCAGTCTTTGATGATAGTGAGATCATAATATATTTTGCAGCTAAAGAGTGAAATCCGTTTATAAATATCAACATAATTTTGGTTACCATGTTTCTTCTTCTTTGATGGGCTATCTTTATACGTATCTGATGAGCAATACGAAAACAAACTCGTATACATATAAAACTTGCAGAAGGCTTTTAGTTAGTCGTCAGATCGTCAATGTTAGCGTTAGATCTCATTTCTTCACGATGATTTTATAATGAATATTCGCAGTGGTCCCATTATGCGCGTCGTTTCATCTGGGAAACAATGATCGCTTTTATTGTGCGTCTGGCGACAAATATTCAGCCTCGAGTTTCGTATAAATTACAAAATTTTTTAAATGCAACATTTTCAGAGAAATATGTGTGCGATTTGACGCGTTGACTGTTATAAGAAAACGTCTATAAATATTTTAAAACACAACATCATATAACGAAGAAAATTATTTTTCTAACACAGCCAACAATGCAATAATAACATTCTAAAAAAAACTTTTTTGTTGCTCTATAGCTAGTATGCATTAAAAATTAAAAAATTATTTTGTCATATAAATTATTAATTATAGCACGATATTAGCACAAGTTTCTAAATTTTTCTAAGTTTCTAAATCGAAGCAGTCAACGCGTTGAATGTCTTCGAGAAATCAGAAATAGAATGTATTTTTTTTTCCAGCGTTTATCAATCATATCATAAAAATTGTATGCTAAGATAAAAGAAAAACTTCTTTAACACATTTGCTTACCATTCTATTTAATTTTGAATAATAAGCAATGTCTTAAGAACTTAACCTCACTCTTCCTTAAACGATTGTAACAAACATATTTGTGAATAACAAAAACTTTTAACCAATCTATAGATATTTGTTTTAACAGACTTCAAAATCCATTATTTCTTTATTACCATCAGCCTTTGCAGCACCAGTATCATGCAATATATTCATATATAATCAAACTTTCTTCTTATGTCAATAAATAAATTTACAAAAACTGTAATCAGACTTTGCTATTCACAGTCTATTTTAACAATTAACTAGATTACAATTAATCTTTTCAACTAATTGAATCGATTAATGTTATCTTTCAATTGAATTCAAATCCTAATTTTTTTAAATATTCATCGCTCGATGCCCAACACTGTTTCTTCTTAATATTTATTCAACAAAAAAAAAGCAAAATTGTCAAATTGAAATGGAAATGTTTAAGTTATGGGCGCATACCCTCTATATACTTATAATTAATCCATATGTTTAATGAAATTTTAATGCGTCTTGGATACGTGCTGATGTCGATCGTCGTCACTAGCTTCTATATCACCCTCAACTCCCTTTTCGCCTTCTTCTAGATGTGGTATATTTCCCTCCTCAGTGTCAACACTACTGGTCGGTGTAATTTGTTCTGTTCCTGGACCAGTGGAGTTCACTGTGGTCCCTTCGTTGCTCTTTTCGAGTCCCAGACCGCCGAGGAGGTTCTTATTAATCGGTTCCGGCGAGACTTCTGACTCCTCGCTGCTAGGTGAACCGGGAGACGAGACTATCACCTGTATAAACAAAGACGCCACACCACCAGCGTCATTTTTAATTACTGATATATTCTTTAGATTTTATTAGAATATATTTATAAAATTTTTCATTTTTTACATTCTATATACGATGATTCTAGATATTAAACTTGGATTGAATAATAATTTATTTATTTAAATTATTTATTGGTTTGTAATTGTATAGGAAATGGATTCAGTAATTATATGGATTCAGTAATATTTAGTAATTATGCAGAATAGGATACCTCAGCGATTTCATGACAATCTTTGAGGATTTGAAGGATATTTTGTTCTTGATTCTACTTCGAATAAATAAATATGCGAATAATAATATTAAATATTATTTTAAATTAAATTAAATTAAAGAAAAATTAACAAGTTTAACTATTTTCAGAATTTACTATATAACAAACCAGATTCAAGAAACGACATCTAACGAGCAATTGTTGCATGCTAGGGACATTGATAATTAGACTATTGGTGGTTTTTCAAAAGAATGATTGGTTAAATAAAATAAAATCACTTCTAAGAGGGATCACTTTTCTTGTACCTTTCCTCCAGTCTTTTATTTAAATAAGAACACATTTTATAATCATACTACAGAAAGAATACTAGAAGTTTGTGTGAATATGATGAATATTTCTATGAATGAGTATTTTTATATTAATAAATAATAAAGACAATAATATTTCATTAAATAATTCTTTGTCTTTACAATCAACTAAAATATTTACATATACATCAAGAAGAGTCTTCAATGTACATCGTAATCTTGCTTATTTGAAACCATCCTATGATAATGATGAAAAATAATGAAGATGATTATGTTACTTGGTTCTTTAATATATATATATTTGATAAATTCTGGCCATGCATGTGATAGAACGATAACTAAAAATGATGTAGAAAACGCGAATGAAAACGATAATAACGATAATACCTGTGCAAGAAGCGGCGTCTCTGTGCTGTCAGCGATTTGGTAGAGCCGGCAATTTGCGTTTGCTCTGAAGAATACGTGCCCAAACGAAAAAAGATAAAGAAGACAACGTAAATCGTCACTATAATAGATAGACGTTAAAAGACTGGCGCAAAGAGAAACAGAAAAATCATAAGCAACCCGCTCGATCAATAAAACACCCAAGTAAATGTACAGAACTGACATCGAGACATGCACGGAGGCTTTTTTGGCGTTTGAGGTTATATTTACACGGATACATTGCGATGTGAATATTTTGCAAACTGTTTGCCACCCATAATTTTTTTTCTTTATATTTTTTCGTATATACTTCTTTATTTGAATTATACGAACAAAATATAATCTTCATGGCGAACAATTTGCAATAGCCGACGATCCTTGAGAATTAACCTGAAACCGAGTAAATGAATTGAAGAATGTACGTATATGAATGAATGTGAGTAAATGAATGTTTTATTGTTTAACAAATAAATGATTTAAAAATATGAAAGCGCGACTGGACTTGTTCTGCAAAGCGAAAATAAAGGGAGAGAACAGAGTCTTTATTTTGCCTACCATGCTGTTCATAACACGCTTTAGATAGTAATGCACATATGTGGGATAAAAAGGTAGAGAGCGAAAAGAGACTCTTGTCCATTTCTTTTAATTTCCTTTTGTTTTATTTTACTTTTCTGAACTTTTTTCCAATTGTAATTATATATATATTAAGGTTTAAAACAAAAAAAACGAGGAAGAATTTTAGTTCAGAAAAGTAATGGTTTCTTATCTTTTTAACCTTCCTTCCGCCTATCCTCTGTACTATTTCAATTTATTATTTTTATCAAATATCATTTTTTATCAAATATAAAAAAAGAAATAAATGATAATAATTATAAGTAACATAGTATAATGCAAGACATAGAAATTCACAAGTATTACTTGAGAAAAGTGATCCAAATATATTCCCTCTTATTAATGTTTTTAATGTGTTTTTTTTATTTATATAAATATCAATAGCAGTGGAATAAATATACAGACAGAGAAAGCGGCGGTAAGAGAGGCGAAAGATTGGAACAAACGTCGCTGAGATAAAACAATGTCTACAATGAAAACTGACCTGTCGAGGCTTGACCGGTGGTGGTGGACGAGTGGAGGACGCGAGAGCTGCGGGTGGTACCGTAGTTGGGGGCTGTTGATGAAGTGAGTGTTGAGGCTGCCAAGGCAGCCCTGTGCGCCCCAATGTTCCCTGTAACTGCTGCTGTACCTGTTGCTGTACCTGCTGCTGCTGCTGCTGCTGCAGTTGCTGCTGACTGTTGTTGTGCTCGACTACTGGCGTAACTCGAGGAAGCGCTGAAGCGACTGAAGAAATCTTCCGAACTGTCTGTGAAATAAGCGACTGATTATTCGGCTCTTATTTTTGTGGTTCAGTTATTTTATCAGGCTAAATTTTATTTCGATTATAATTTAAAATAAATTTTCGTTATATTTTATAAAATTTAATTACAATATTTTAAAAAAACCTGATAAAATAATTATTTTATATATATATATACATAAAAAAATAAAAATGTTAATTATAAGTTAATTATTAGAAATGACAACATTACCTGACTTAACAGGCCAAATCTCAAGAAGGTATTTGAGAACTGCTATTGGTTGTTGGAAATCCAGAGGTGGTCCGTTTTCTTCTGAATGTAGCATTAACACTGGTCCAAAACAAACTGCCAAACTTGCTGGAGACATTTTATTGCATTGGGATACCACCATTGCCAAATGATCGAGCAAATATATTAATGTACACTGTTAAATAAATAATTAGTTAGTATCCTCAAGATATATCAAAATTTATAAATAATTTGAGCTTAGATACGAACCCTGTTCACTTTTGGTAAACAATCAAGTATACTAAACATGAGTTTTGCATTGCCCTGTGGATCATCTGGTAGACAGACGGCCAGTGCATCGACCATCATTTGGTAGAGGCACTTCGTGAAGAGTGGTTCTGGAAGTTCTCGCAAGTAATCTTTTAGTACACCTAAATAATAATTTAAAATAATTATAATTTCATTTGCGATATGATATTATAATATTAGAAATAGTAATTAAAAAATTTACCAGTAATCACATTGATATCTGGCACATTATCAGGCGATAAATTTACTGAACGAGCATTCCTTTCAAAAGCTTCTCTAAGTATCCTCTTCTTCGTAGCTGATCCACAAAGCCTATATAAACCTAATTTAACAAATCATTTTGAAAAATTATTCAAACTCAAATAGAAATTTAAATTTGTAATTTGACTCACCAATAATATCAAGACCTCTTCTTTCAACTTCTTCGACACAACGCCATACAATTATGGGCACATTTGGAACGCCCATTGCTAAAGCGGTAGAAACACCTCCAGGAACTCCACCAGTCTTGCTTTCTCGACTTACCTAATCCAAATTATTATTATTTTTTTAACATCTTGATCATTAAATTTTAGAAAATTTAATTTTTAATTTCAGCCAGATATTTTGAATATTTTATTTACCACCGTGTCAAGATCAACTCCAAAGAGGGGTGCTACCCTGGTGGCAAGAGATATAACCGGAAGTCCTCTTCTTCGAAATGTCTGCTGAGCATCAGTGTATCGCAGTCTTAGATAAATTGTACCACGTGGTTCGACTTTGACAGCTAACTGATGAACTGGTGACTCCTTCAAAAGAGTTGCCAGATGTACAGATCCTTTGTAACACAACTTGTGCCTATACTGTGGGTCCCATGAATAGACCAGCAAATCTAATTGACGGTTGCCAACGAGATCCAGCTCGAAGGTTTCGTCCCAGTCGAACATCAAATCACCGGTTCGCATCACTGTCCTCGCCTTGTGTACTCTATCGCACTCCAGTACACAGTAAAGGTCTCTCAAACCGCAACTAGCTATTATGGTATTTGAACAACATAGATATTTTGCTATTTTTCAAACTTTTATGTCAGAACATTTAAAAACAATAATTCAAAATTTAGTAATAATATATAATACTTTCGAATATTTTCTAGCATTCGAGAGTTATAGGTGATAGGAACTACTATAAATTTAAAATAAAAACAAATTTATTAATATATATATTTGTTAAATTTGTTAATATATATATATATATATAAAGGTTGTGCAGTGAAGAAATAATCTAAGGGATGTGCAGACTCCCGAACGTACCTAAATTAGGCTGACCTGATGGTGTGGAAGGTGTAGTGGCTGCTGAGGAAGATGTTGTCGAACGAAGACCACGTCCAGCCAGAAGATGAACCCAGAGAAGCCCACTAACGCCTCCCGCCAAATCGCCGCTGCTAGTTTCTCCGAGTGAGCTCAAAAGAGAGCTGGTAGAGCTCGGAGTTCCAACAGTTGGAGGTTTTTCTATCTTATATTTAAGGAACTCTATAAGAAAAAAAAGAAATAATATAATGCAATTAGATTTTTTAAATTATACTGAAATTTTTGCGATTCCCATTAATTACCTGCAGGATTAATATCTAGCAGTCTTTGATCCTGAGTTCTGGTAGGCGTGGGGGTAGGTATGCTTCGCGTGGACTCTAGATCTAGCAGGTTTCTGATTCTCCTGACTGATGTTGCCCTCTGAGTAGTGGAGCTACTCAATGATGGTTTCTGACTCGTCAAAGAAGTACGAGCACTGGATGCAACCGAGGCCGGTCTTTGATTCGCTGTTCCACGAGGACATGTTGAACTTATTGCCGTCGATGCTCTTAAATTGGCAAGATTCACTTGTTGTGCAGAGGCTGATCTTGTTGACAAACGATCTAATGTGCTGGAAAGTGGTCTATATGCTCCATAGCTTCCATATTCACCCTAAAGAAAAATACGAATAAATAAGAAAATTTATAGAGAATTGATCTCTTTGATAAAAATATAATTTAATATATGTTACTTACTTGATTTGCAGCTGCATGAATATTTTCTGCACTATAGGTATAACGTGGTGGTCTGGTTGTAGTGGCTCTGATCTGCTCGTACAATGCACTGGTACTCGGCGTTCGACTCAACCATGCCCGGTACTCATCTGATGTGAACACACTAGGTGATGATGGTATTCTTCCTGCCGTTGCAATCAATAGAATTCTCAGTGTTTTCATTATACTCGAAATATCTGAATTGACTCGCTATTTGAACTAACCTCTATCGCGTCTGATGGAAGGTAGTTCAGGCGCTGACAGTGCACCATCACTATCTTCCTGATCTATTAGTCCAGATGCTACTGTGCTAAGTCCAGACCTGAGACCTGGTTGCTGAGGCAATGTTCTGCCACTACGAGGCAACGAATTCGATCTCAAGCCTAGAGAAAGCATGATCACGATTTGAAATTTTTTCTTCCAAAAGCAAGAAACGTGAATTTCTCGATGAAAGCGACAATAATCTAACCTGAGGAACTCTGACCAATCTGTGACCTTGAGAGGGTGGCAAGATGCGAGACAGCACTACTTTGTGGCGGATTATTCATATTGTGCCTGTAGTAATAATAAGCCGATTTAGGCGAACTTGAACAGGTTGCTTCGGTATCGGAAGCATAATCCAATGATGGTCGATGCCTTCTAGTCAGAGTACCAAATTGTCCTTGTCTTTGTGTAGTTGACGCGCTATCTCCCTGAGTACCATATCTGGTATTGTATCTCAACGCAGAAGTTCCTGTTCAAGAGAGAAATGACACAAAATGAATGAAGAATTAAAAAAAAAAAAAATTGAAACAATTTTTGTGTAAAGTAGCGAACCTGACTTCAAACTGGATCTAAGAAGAGTATGTCTAGCTGGAGTTGTGATGCTCGTGTAATCAACCCGAGGTAAATGTTGATCTGAACCGCTTCTAGGCATGATTCTTCCAGTTCCAGTATGCTGACCATAACCATAATGCGTTGATTGAGTTTGACTAGATAATCTGCTACCAACTGATTGCATTCCTGCACCCGTGGACATCCGACGACCATTAGAGGGCATAACTGGCCCCGTGTAGAAGGAATGTACCTAAATTCAATCAAATTAATTCATTTTCTTTCCTTTCTTTATAATTTTTTCCTTTCATTTCACAATCGACCACTTGATTGGACTTTCTTAACAAAAGCCTTTTTAGATCATTAATTGATATCCCTTTAGATCATAGATTTATCGTAATTTAATTTTAAAATAGATCGATTGTGATTTAAAGGAAAGTCTAATCAATCATTTTTCCATCATGATTGATGGATCTCTTTATATAGATTATTATACATTTTAATAGATTACATAGAAATCCATATATCATTGTGATGGATGTATGACGATCACGAGTCGCCACAAGATGAGACAATACTTAAAGAAAGAAATAGAAAGAACAAACATACAGAGCAAAGCTTACAAAACAACAAAAAGTGGAATTACATCATAAATAGCGATGTTCAATTCCACTTGGACATTAATAAATATTTATTACTTTTTTAGAATTAATAAATTATTTTTCATTTGTATATATAATAATATTGACATATAATATTAGATATAAATATTTATCTATTGTCCACGTGGTACACGGTGCAGGGAATTGCTGCATATACAAATCTAGATATCAAGAAAGAGTTAGTGGTTTCTTTACCTTTGTGAAATCCTGGTTAATATCAATGTAGCATTCATTCATAGAACCGATTAGTCATGTGAAACACGTGGTCGAAACACGATTAAACTGTGAATCATCTATTCTCCAAGTTAATTGAAATATTTGATTGAGAAACATTTTGATATTTGGATATTTTATAATATTGTATTTTTTTCTATTTTAATTACTTGGAAATTAAGATGGCACACAATATACTGATCATTATCAGGAGTGTCTCGAGACATTGCCACGAATTCACCACTTTCTTATTCGAATCGCTATTGCAATTGAAGACAGAGAAGGGCAAACAAGTGTCAACTTGGTGCAAACAGATATATGAAAGGGTGCTCGATCCACATCGTCTAGAACATCTATGATCTATATGAAAACGCAGATGAAGATTTTTAATTAATATAAAATACAAAATTTGATTAGAATTTTTTCAATCTCTTCAAACTTTTCTATATTACATTTGTTTTTTATTAATCTTGACCTAAAACTTACCAATATTTAATTCTGCATTAATTATTGATTTTAATCCTTACATTAAGTTTTTAATATTTTGTCATTTAATATTTTTTATAAATCTCGACCTGCGTTAAAGTTTTTGAAGAACGTATAAAGTATTATAAGGCTTACTTTTTCAGCCAAACTCTCCAATGTTTTTGGATATCCACGCTCATAAGGCTGGAAGTGTTGTGTTGTAGAGGGTTTAGGTTGATGTGTAATTACAGGAGGTGGTGGTGGTTGATAAGACCAATGCCCTTCCGGTCTAGAATTGTAATACAAATCGCCATTACTGGATCCGAGATCTTGACTGGAACCTAGACCTGTCAGACCTAACCTTGATCGAGAAGGTAGCATCTCACGACCATCGCCACGTCTACGACTGCCATCCCTATTATTAAATCACAAAATTAAATAATTTTATTAACTCTTCTTATTAACTTTTATTAAATTTCTTCAAACAGCTTCATATTTATGACTTATTTTTAATTAACCATAATAGAATCTAAATAAAAAAGTCTAAAAATGATAAAATAAGAAAAATAAAAAGATAAGAATATTTTTTTAAATTTAATAAATAGCATTATTTTAAGAAATTCAATTATAAAATAAATGCTAATAAGTAACATTAAAGTACTTAAACAAATTAAGGCATTAAGAAAGAATTCTATTGTTAGAAATTCATTTTCTATTAAATTAAGAAAAATTGATCTTTTTTTTTGGATAATTATATATCCAAACAATTATATTAATTCTGCCAGATTTTTGTCTAAAGATTCCATTACCTGACATGATTGCTTGTTGCATGATCACTTTCATCTTCATTTAGCTCTCTCTTAATCACTACAACTGGAGGTGCCTTATGTTCAGTCTGACGACTGTGCGAAACTGGCTGGTGTTGGCCGTGTCTTGTCGCCAGAACGAGTCTTCTGGGTATTGACATAATGATTACAACATCGTCCAGGCTCATGTGCGTCACATCGACCAGATTCACTGCTAGAATCTCATCTCCAACCTAATTAAAAGAAGTAAAAAAAATATTTAAAAATTTTTCAAAAAAGAAAAAATAAAAATAATCCTTATATTATTTATATATGTAATAGAAAAAAATATAGAAATATATTTTTTAATATAAATATTAATAATCTTAATTTTCACAAAGATAGTTACAGTAAATACTAAATTGATTTTACTTAAAAGAATGGAATGATAATTAAGAATCCAAAAAAGAGGTAAACCTTTAGGCAGCCGCTGTTATAGACTGCGGTCTCCAGGGCTATTCTCGAGATAAAAACACCGTCATTTCTGTCGACACCATTACCTTCTCGTATGTATAATCCCAATGTTTGTCCTGGTCTTTTAATTATTTCAACAAAATGGATAGGTTGTTTTGGATCCTGAAATACGGGTAATTATATTATCAAAATATCTAAATATTCTTTAAAAACAATATTTCAAAAAGTATTACATTATTTAACGAATTAAGATTATTTTTTTTTTTAAATGAAAAAATATATTCAATGTTTATAGATAAATCTGATTAAAAATTCAGAATTAAAGAGAATCGTGTGAATACCTACCTGCATAGCAATGAATTTCTTTGCCGCTTCGGATGCCTGCCTGCCCATCTGTCGTGGCTCGATGACCCGGACAACCATCTCACCCCTTCGTTCGACAGCTTCGAGGGCGGCTGCTGTCGAGGCGTCATGATCGTTTTCGACGGTTTCGATCTGCTTGAATATCTCTGTGCTGATACCACTCACCTGCAACGACATATTCCTCCACTTCAACAGGAATGCCATGAACAGGCATTTGAATGAAAAATGGCATAAAACTATTCCAGTAACTAAACAAAATATTTTAATATATTTTTTTCTTGAAAGAAAAAAAACATTTTAAAGTGAACATTCTTGAATATTTTTTTAAATACTATAAAATTATTTAACTTTTTTCTTTTTTTTATAATATTAATTAGAGGATATATTACATAAATCGTTGCTGGAACAGTTTTATGGAGAAGGTAAATTGATTTTCTCTAATTCTCATTTCCTGTCTTTTTTGTCTGCTTTCATTTTTGAAATAATTAGATTTATCAATTGGCTCCTTGGAGATTTAATTATTGCCTATATTAGAATATCTATAGTCTAGGAAATAACAGGATAGTGTAGTTTTTCCTATGGGATTTTGAAATCTGGTTATATTTAAGAAAAGAAAGAAAATAAGAATAGTCTTGTTCTCTGACATATAAAATAATCAGAAGAAAAAAAGATACGCTTTTAATAAATATTTAAAAAGAATAAGGATTATAGAAATTGGTACCTTCCTGAAGTCTCCCTGAATGACCATGGGGGGTGGTTCCTTGGGGCGCAACTGGTTGGCAGGTGCTTGCCTTCCAGGACTTGCGCTTATGTCTGTCACTTCTCCCCGGCCCTCCTGTATTAAATTAATATTATTAGTAATTTTAGTAATTTGCTTTATTAACTTAATTATTGACTCAATCTATAGTTTGATCTCACTAGCTCTCTCTCTAGCTTTTTCTTGCCTTCTAATTTTCTTGTCTTTTTTACTTCAATTTTTAATTTATTTCTAACTAACAATTAGTAAAAAAAAAAAAAATAAAAAATTTTAATTCAAAAATATAAAGTGTAAAAAGATATAAATAATATATTAATAATAAATAAAAAACATCATTATTAATTTATAAAAAATTAAAATTCATGTGTTTTTCTAAATACTTGATTAATTTCATGTTACAATTGTCTAAAAAGAAAAGAAAATAATTGATAGATAAAGAAGCAATCAAAAAAATAAAACATGTGTAAAATATATTATATAAGGCACTGATTTATAAATCAATTCTTATAATTAAACATATTAATATAAAATCAAAATGTTTACTTATAATACATGAAAAATCTTCAGGAGATTTCCGATTGGTTTAAAAGTTCCAGCAAATCAGGAATGCTAAACGGGAAGGGAGTTTCTTTGTAGTGGTTACACGTGAGATTCGATCAATGGACTGATTAGAGGCTCGTAAAAATTGCAAGTACTCTCAAATGGGTTCTTCCTGTGAAATTACGAACAATCAGAAATGTACGCGTTTCAAAGAGAATCCGTCAAAAAATAGAAATCTCTTTGTTGGCACTAATGCAAAGATAGTACTACTATCATGACTACGAATGAGAGAGATAATAATCAGCTTTGTACAAACATTGTACTCACAATTTTCTTTTCTCTTCTATTCTGAATAAAAAATTAAGATTTTATTAATACTAAGATTTTAATTATTTCTTAAATATTGCATCAATAATCTGTACTGTTTTTTTTTTATTAAGATTAACAAATTCATTCAAGCTGAAACACACTTCAAAATAATTTAAATCTATTTTGGATGTTATTATTGAAAATAGAAATTCAAAGTGATTTTTCTCGTGTAATATTAAAATTTCAAAGTTTAATGAGTCATAAATATATAAAATGTTAATATATTCGTGGAATATCTTTGTAGGGTCAATTCAAGAGATTGAAAATAAATACAAAAATTGATATTCAAAAATATCGATTAACTTATTTATTATAAGATATAAATAATTTAAATTCATGTTAGATGAAATAAAGAATAGAGTGCGATAATGGTGTAACAAAGACAAAATAATTTCACTATCTTATTATATGATTATTCTTATAATTCCTTCCTTTTATAATTCCACAGATTGAAGTGATGATTGATTAAGGATAATTTCACAAGTATGTTTCGAAAGAATCGAAGGATAAATAAAAAAAAAATTAAACTGAAACAAATATAAAAATCCTCAATTGGTTTGATCATTCTTTGATATTTAAATTAATAGTTTACGAATTTATGATTTTATTCTTATATCTTGAAAGATACTTTACATTGACGTAAGGTAAATTGCCTCAATTGTGTGCATCTTAAAACCAATAAGCTTCCCTAAGCTGATCAGAGTGAGCAAAGATTCCGTACAGTGAATGAGAAACTACGGATACAAGTACTCAGATAGAACTCATTAAGAGTCGCAAACAATGCTTGAGAAAACAACCGCTTGTTACAGAATCTGCATCAATTAGATTCAGTCAGAAACAGCGCAACGTTTTCCTCTAGTTCTTGGAAAAACTTCAATTTCCATAAAGCAATCTTCTGTATCGTAAAGAGGTTAATATAACTAGGAATCAGGGTAAATGGTCAAGTGTCTTACCCAATATTAAGATGATCCTTAATTCTTCAAATGAAAAATTCGAAGAAAAACGATTATTTTGTTAATCATATTTTTAATATAATATTTTAATGTTTTTAACAATATTCAAAATATCATAATATTGATATTTAAAAATCGAGTAATAATAATTAGAAAATATTCCATTAGATTTCCATTGATAAGAAATTAATTAATCCAATTTTGAGCATTGCTTCCTATTTAATTACAATTTTCATTCATTCTATATATCTATATCCACCATTATCATCTCCATAAGAATTGTTTCAAACGGATAAACGTTTGGTATCTTGTGCACATACTATACTATATATGTTTTCATCACGCGAGTAGCCGGTACACGTTTCACATTGTAACTTCTCTCTCTCTCTCTCTCTCTCTCTCTCTCTCTCTCTCTCTCTCTCTCTCTTTCTCCCTTTACTCAAAGCAGATCACGCGAGCAGGAAAACGCACCCCGTGGAGGCATGTGAAGAGGACGAGCCACGCGGCAGAGCCGCACATCCGGTCGCACAAGGACAATAAAGACATCCACACTTGCGCGGCCGATTTGCAACCTCTTTTGTTAGATGTGTCCTCGGGAAGGCCGTCGGAAGCGGTGAGGAGTTCCTCACCCTTGATTGTGCAAGAGCTGCTCTCAGCCCTTCTCTTCCTCGTTTCACCCGGTGTCCAGGCCCTCTGCTTCTCTTCTTTCCCCTTTGCCGTCGAGGTATCGAGATCCGTGGTTCTCGCCGTGATGCTATTCGTGCGTTTATCCATACGAGCACACCTAGGATTATACTCTCACCAAGTGTCGAGGAATCACGAGAAAGAATCCCAACAACTGGGGATTCACACCGGTCCACCCTTGTACACCTTGACGACTCTTTCGAGGACGTTGACGATTTATCGGGACCAAAATTAGCCGGTTTTCACGGCTATAGACACTGCGGGATAGATAAGAGGACAGGTATGTAAGACCACGCGATACAGGTACACGGATTACCTTGTGGGAAAAGAAGTAGCCCGTATCACCCCTGTCGAACATCCTCGCCTACCCCATGCTGGCTAATATGGCGGGAAGGAGCTCTCAGGAGCGTACGAGGCCGCGCCTGCGCCCCCATAGCCCACCACCACGCCGGGAAATAGAGTGTGGGTGAGTATCGACCCGACGTGACGTCACCATAACCCACCACCATCCTCGACAATCTCTCTCTCTCTCTCTCTCTCTCTCTCTCTCTCTCTCTCTCTCTCCTACTGCTCTTTCCTTTAAACGGGCTTACTCCGTCTCTTGCGGTGATTCTCGGTTACGTTGTCGCCTCTCGTTTGCTTACTCGTTTCATCTCTCGTGTATAGATTGTGCGGTTGTCTCGCTTCATCGGATTTCTTCGCTATACGTCGTTTAGGTATGTTCTGTTTCGCTCTGTGAATCTCTACCTGCCATTTGATTTCTGCTTTATTTTGTGCTTTTTTTCTTTTTTCCTTCTTTTTTTTTCGTTGTTTGTTTTCATTGATTCGTTTTTTCTAATGTGAATGGTTTCTTTAGGCCAGTTCAGTTCACCATTGTTCAGTTGATCGGTTGAATTTGAGTCTAACTCTGGACGATAAGTTAGGTTAAGTTTTCTTCTCTTTTTTTTCTTTGATAAATGAAACTTTAAAAGTTTAATTAAAACATAATATTCAAAAAATAAAAAGAAGAAATAAAAAACAAAGAATCCAAATTATAAAAGTTAATATCCAAAACCCAGATTTCAAAACATGATACAAGACGAAAAATATTATTTGGTCTTTCTTAAGTGGAAGAATTATAGCATATTTGAAAATATAGAAATCGTACAAGATGATTTACCTCAGATGATGCAATATATCTTAGGATATGTTATTTACAAACTTGCATGTTTCTTATATATAACAGCTACGCATTTTGTATCTTGGCTCGCTAAAAAATTTAATCTGAAGCTTTATCAAGTCCTCTTCATTATCTACAGTTATCAATCTTTTTTGCAATTTCTTTTTTCTTCTTTCCTCATTTCTCACGATTTACAACTCTATCCCTACTTTTATCTTCCGCTTTTCATACTCGTTTCAGTTCAGGCCAAGTCCTTGTCATCGATCTTTCCTTATTTTTACTTCGACCTATTTTACTCGCTTTCAGAATATTCATTTATCCGGCTTTTATTTCGTGATACACCCCGTTTTCTTCTAATTGCATCCAACTTGCCACATCTCTTGACATCTTTCTATCCTTCCAACTATTTGTTTTATTCTCCACGCATAAGTATATATACAATTTCAATTCGGATCTTCTGTATATCTAGCTTTTATGCGAGTCATAAGCTGCAGTGATATTCTTCCTAAATTTTCACACCATAAATCTCGTTTGTATGCAAGTTGCTTATTCTCCCTTAATCTACTGGAGTTGCATTTGAGTTATGTCTTTTGTATTTTGCGTTTTAAAATTTAAGTTTTTTTTTTTTTTGAATTTTTGGTTTATGTATTATATTTTGATTTGATCTTATTTTATAGAAAACAATTGAAAGTTTAGCAAACATCTTCTTCAATGAAGATAATTGTATTAATTACATAATAATTGTATTAATTAGTTGTTTATATAGAATTCAATATATAGTGCTAAAAGTTTTTCATTAATATCTTAAAAACTAATAAATATCCAAAATTAAAATTTTATATTTGGAATTTATTACCTCTTCTCTCCTTCTCTTCCAAATTTCGTGCAAATAGCGATCTAATTCAAAGTATATATTTGGAAAATAAAATTTTTCTTTGTTTCTTAGATATTAAGAAATCAGTCCTTTTCTTTTTTTTCACAACTGAAAAATCAAATTATTAAAGTTTTTTTTTATTCTCTCCGTATTTAGGTGAATTATATCGCAAGGAATTAATTTAAGTGGAAGGTGGGTAAGTGGGGTAATTTTTTATCGTGGCTAGTATTAGAACGTGGCGTTTCATTGAGTTTCGAACAAAATTGTTGGCGCAGGCGTGACAACCTTTCCACCGGAATTCATCCGGACGGATTTTACATATCGTGCTGTACGTGTGTGTATGTGCACGCTTCCACCTCGTGGATATTCTCGTTTCACGGTTGTTCAGTGTTTTAATGCGATTAAATGCATTTCCTAAATCGTTAGCCTTTCTAAATCGTATTATTATATCTCAAGTTGTTTTAATCGTGATTGATTTTCCAATTTTATATTTGTGTTG